TATTATTATTATTATTATTATTATTATTATTATTATTATTATTATCATCATCATCAACATAGAACAATACCGGTACCAAAATAGGTATATACAAGACCTTAATTCCCCTCGACAACTTTCTAATCTATCTATCTATCCATCTACCTTCGCTTACGACTGACGACACGGTCGTGCATTCCCGAATGATGATTTATTTATGCATGCATGCATGCACGCTAAATCTTATGGTACCGTACTCGAAATGCCATCCACGAAAACATTTATGATAGATGATATGAGTACTTATCGGCAAGCACCATAAACGTAACCTGACGCGACTTCCTTCCTTCCTTCCTTCCTTCCCACCTTCCCCGTTATTTCCTCTTTCGTTATTCTGGGAGAAAGTACAGTGGCTTCTTTCGACTTTAGACGGACAGACAGACAGACAGACAGACGTGCATAGGTGGGCGAGTAGAGTAGAGTAGGTATAATCACACTTGGTCGGGTTGCAATAATAGGTAGGACCAGACGACAGACACAGACAGGCACGGACGGATTGTTGGTTGGAGTGGAGCACGTGAGAAGTCCCGAGTAATGCTTCATGTACAGTACTCTACCATGCACGGTACATGTGTATGTACTGTACTGTGCTGTACCGTACTGTTGCTGTACGAGTACCGGTACTGCACTGTTGAAGCGGTGCGGGTGGGGTGAATGGACCAAATTTTCCCTTTTTTTTTCTTTTCTCCTTCTTTACATGTTCCCCGGGTTCTCCTTCCCTTCTTCCATTCTTCCATGCCTTTTCACGACGGGGGAAAAAAAAAACTAGGAATTTTCGTACTGTGTGTACGGGGAGGGGAGGGGGGAGGGATTGGAAGGAGAGGAAAAAAAAAGAAGAAAAAAAAGAAAAAAAAAACTAATTCTGGCATCGAGTCGCATCGCTCAAAGGTTTGTGGTTGTTTCTTCGCTTCCTTCCTTTTCCGGATCTCTTGCATCTTTCGCTTGGGTAAAAGAACCCATCACCCGTGTTCGGTATGAACCGGGTATCATAACTGTGCGGGAACTATGCTCATACCGCACAATATATTCAAATGCGGTACTATCCTATTAGTACTGTACAGCACCACTGGCATCCTCTGTGTGCATGGATGAATTTCGCACTACACTGCTGCCTTGCTAAACCACCCTTCTTTCCCCTTCCGACTCCCCCCCCTTTCTATCACCCTACTCTTCTTTAATGTCCGCCGACATGCCCGTGAGGTTATGCCGGCCTACCGAGTGTATTCCAACATATTCAACTAAACATCTTGAAATTTCTTGGCCCATTGGGGGTTAGCACAAACATCATACATCGTGGGTCAAGAAAAACACGAGGTTTAGCGTGATGCAACAAAGGCTGGTTGTAAAACAAGATACCGCCGCTAACAGGATGACCGCTCGCAAAACCTACAAAGCCCCCCCCCCCCGCCTCTAGTGAGTGTAGAATCTCGGGCATCCATATTTCCCGGTAATTTCTTTAGGTACACCAGTATGGAAACACATCTTCGGGCGGCCGAGATAGGAGAGAAAAAACGCATCAACTTATGCGCCAGCTTGCAGAATTGAGCAAAAGAAATCACAAATCTCCCGCCCAAAATCTCAGATGCCTAACACCCTCCCTTACAGAAAAAATCTCGCACGTTGGTATCGTCGATTGACACCACCCAAACAAATGAAACCATGTGACCATTGACCAGCTTCAATCACGTATGTGAAACCATCCCGCCATTCCACGTCATATGTGGTCCATCCATGTACAAAACAGCGCAGTATGAGATCGCACAGAGACAAAGGAAAAAATATAGCACGAAAAGCGTCGAGGAAAAAAGAGTGAGCAATGAGAAAAGAAAGAAAACCCGAAAGACAACCCCACCAAATGGTACAAGTACCAAACGCCTACCTAACCCACCCTATAAGGAAAGAAAAGAGAACCTTATTTTCTGCGCACGATAAATTTAATTTTTTTGGAAACAGGAGCCCCGGGGAATTGGGCGCATGTCGCTGGTGACTTTTAGAAGGAGGTGACACCACGGGAGACCTCAAGGCCCCCATAACTATCTCCCGGGTCAGAAAAGCTTCCGGATGAGGTTTTCCCAAGGGAGCACGAAAGAGAATCAAAGACAGTTGGACTATTTGTATCATTAGTTTCCACCTTGCACCCGGAATCACCGTCACCCCCATCCTCTTGGACGGTCTCTAGTTGGTCTATGGCAGTCGAGGGTCTCCAGTGAGGGGTTTCCCAATCCCGAGGCTTGCCAGAACCAGGTCGAGGAATTACCGGACTACAACGGTTGTTAAACTCATGTTATATGAATGGGCTAGGATTTCATACGGAGTTAAAGTGGTGCCAGTGCCACTAGTAGGCCAAACCCTGTTGTTGGGCTGTGTATTGTTGTGGTGCGGAGTAGAGGAGTAGCAGCTATTGACAACGCTGTTATATTCATTCGAGCGGAACTGCCTTTTCTTGGTAGTAGTAGCCTTGAGACGTTTTTGGGCACTGGTATCGGCGTAGCGGACTTGTAGCGGGATTTGTTCCTCTCCAACAAGCTTCCCATGGAAATTGCGGATGATCTCATCGCAGATTGAGCGATCCTCAAATCTGGTCTTATCAGATGATGCGCGTCAAAAACTAGAGCGATATGGGATGTTTTACCTTGCAAATCCTACACCGCGACTATTCCCCTCCGGATCTCTCAAGATCCTATTAGACACAACAGTATATCCTAAAAAAATATCTTGCATAGTCTTGGTTTAGAATTAGCATCTGCAGAATCCACTCTATCACTCGACCACTCACTTTTTCATTCATGGAACGGGGAAGATTTGACACATAGACATTCGTAGAATTAGGGTCAGCCAATGTCTTAAGGCGGGCGTTGAACGATTCCTAGATTACAAGGTCAGTAAACAACAGAGACAAACACTAACACTCGGGGGGATGAGAGTACCCTGGCAAATCCAGCTTCATACTTCGAGCGAACTAGCCCACGGATACAGTCTTCAGCTTCATCAGTACTCTCGTAGCGGGCAAAGCCATATCTGGGAAATTTTCAGCAAGTGCGAGCGACGGGGGAAGAGCTCATTCTATCACCCTTTGCACGTTCCATGATCGGTATCCATGATCGCCTTGTGAGATACAACTATACCGAAACGACAGGTCATCTCATAAAGTTTATCATCATCGGTATCTGGAGGCAATCCACGGATATAAACGTTGGTCGTATGGGTGGGATTATCCAGAGCTTGGTTGACATTCCTAGCCGATTCAGGGGAGAAAAGAGCCGGAATTGGGGTTGGAAGTGGAGGACCAGCCAATAAAAGTGCTTCCACGGATTTTTTCTCGTGTGGAGTAGCTGGCTGCCCATAGACAACGTCGTTGCTGCCACCATTGGAAGCCGTCAAAGGATGAGCTTCTTCAACAATGATCGGCCCCACATCAGTCTGTGCAGAGGCCATGAATGGTGTTGTCGGACTCTCGGAAGTTGCTGAGGAAGACCAGGAACTACGGCGTTGGTCCAATTGAGGGACTGGATTAGCAGCTAGTGTCTGGGAAGCTCCGTGGTAGTTATTGGCATGAGGGGGGGTTGGCGGAAGTAACTGGGCGCCATAGAATTCTGAACCAGGAGCTACCTGATATCCATATGGAACTCCCGAGTGAGGAGGAGTAGGAGGTGGAGAAGTGGCATATCCGGGCTGAGGGTAAACCGGTATGGCACCTGGAACGGGCCAGCTAGGGTGAGGATAATAGTAATAAGATAACTGGTCAGGCCCGTGATTGTACACGGGTCCGTAATTAGGGTTTGGAGCACCCATGGGGTAAAATTGAGGATGAGGGCCCACAGGGCCAGGATATGGTACCATCTGTCCGTAATGGGGCTGCTGGATAGGCACCTGGTGAGGATGCCCAGGAACATGACGGTAAGTATTTTTTGAATGAGCCATGTAGGACGTCGTATTCGCGTGCTGCTTATAGGCTTCAGGTGAGTTCCTGGAAGAGTTGGAAGGCACAGTTTTTTGACTGGTTGCCATTATTCTTGTACTTTTTGTTTTAGTTGGTGATTAGATAAGAGGTGAGTGAGGGAAGGTTGAAGAGTTGCTAACCTTGTAGAGTAAATCGTTAAGAGCTTAAATTGAGCCGGAGCAATCCACCTATATCCCGAGCTTTAGCAGGACTGTCCCCTATCGGCATATTCGGAAATGATATTAGCTCGGCAAAAACCTACCAAAGCGAGATGAGCTGAAAGCAGAAGAAATGTTTTTTTTCTCTTTTGTGCAAGTTCCAGAGCTAACGGAAAAGGTGTTGAAGAGAAAGCGCGAGATAGCAATCGACTATCCCCGCTGCAAGAACAAAAAGCCCAAGCAAAAGAAAGGCGAGAGATGTATCCCGTCCGAGAAAATTAGATGAAAGATGAATTGGATGAGATGGAAGCGGAAGAATGGTTGTGATAGGATGCAAGAGGGGAAAGGAGAGATGGCTTGAAGGATGACTGGGGATTGGAGCAAAAGAAATAAGCTGGTAAAACTTCGGGGGAGTGGCGGGGTTTTAAAGAAACTTGCCACAACGGGAGAGGAGGAGTGAGAGAAAGAAGGATAGAGCAGACAGGGGGGAAAAGAGTGAGCAAGGTGGGTTTGTGCTGTGTGCTGAGGAGGGTTGGTGTGGGTGTGGACAGGCAAAGGTTAGTACAGTACGGTACGCAAGTAACGGTGGGTGGGTGGACGAGGCAGGAAGAGAGAGAGAGAGAGGACGAGCGAGCTTGTAACTAAAAAGTTTCACAGAGCCAGACTGCGGGTGCGGGTGCAAATCCTCACACCACACTGGCGGATTTGCGGCTGGTGTCCGGGAAACCTTCAGTGGTTCCGCTGGATCGGTCTGAGTCCTTTGTGATCCGGGAGCCAAAAGTGATATCTTGTCCCTCCTATTTGTACTTGTATGGTACGGTACGCTTGGGTGGTGAACAAAAATGAGGGAAAAAACAAAAGTACCACAACTCCAAGGAGAAAAATCCCCCGACTCGGCTGCTTCCGCCTGATGACACGCAGCTACTGCAGACCACAGCTATCACGGCCAAGTACCAAACCCCCTCGATCGTTAGTGCCCTATTCTCTGAAATATCTGATCGTCGCCGAAGTTTGTCTCTGGTCAAACAATCGAGTATCAACAGAATTTCCCTCCCTTCCAAAACATTCGCTAATTCAACCATTTTTCTCGGAATTTGATCCCCAGCTAGCTGAGCCAAACCTTTCGGTGCGAATTCCAATGGGTCCTGGGCATGCAGGACGAGCCAGTGGCGTTGGGAATGGCAGTATCTTGGATCCAGCTCACCTATTGGTCTGGGCTATCTCTTCCAGTGATTGCTCCCCCCACGCCCACGCCCGTCGCTTGGACGCAATACAATTGAATGTACCTGAATACGCTGTTCATGAGAACAACTAATCCATCGGCCAAAACACTGGCGGGGCTGTCTCGGGCGAGATACTCTGGCGTTATAGACAAAAAATAAATCTAGGGGAATGGTACAGTACAACATGATACCGTACAGCACTGGTACAGCTGCGATTGATTCACTCGTTCAATTCCATCCGCGGAACTATGCAGCAAGACCGACGGAAGCAGAAAGGTACCCGCCAGTTTTCCTGTTTCCGACCTGAAGGATGGTGCAGGAAAAACAAACCCAGTGCCCTCATCTGACAGCAAATCGATACAGATGTCTAGGATTCCCTGCAAGTCTCGAGAAGAACTAGATGGGAAGTGAGGCGAAGCTAGAAGGTTAGGGTAACAGTGCCGGTATTTTACCCATTGCGAATATCCTGATAGGTTGGAGTGTTCTTTCAGTTCGGCTCGAGGGTGGGGTACGTACCGACTTCATAGATGTGTGGTTGAAGTGAGACGTCTGGCTCAATACCTAATTGCTTTTTTCTCCCGCCAGATAGCCATAGCTCCAAGGATCAACACCGAGGGCTTCCTTCCCTTCCGGGCGGTTACGCGACGCAGGGAAGGTAAAAAAAAAAAAAAAAAAAAATAACAGAAAAACCATTTTCTTTCTATCGTCGCATCCTGTAGGATTTGCTAGAAGGTGCTAAGGAGAAATATCACTTCCGATACGACGGACGTGGCTTCCCTCGGGCTGTTAGCTGTTAACTGTACGAGTACCGTACAGCACTGTCCTGTACTGTACAAGGAACAATCCTGTTCCTGTGCAGTGTTTGTGCGAGGGGCATACTGTATTGCGCAACGTCAGAAGACAGCAGCTGACCAGCTTGTTGGTTGAACCAGGCTGTGGACTGAGGCTTGAAGAGACTGATTGGAGAGGGCCAAGAATAAAGAGAACATCCAGGAACGAAGGCCAATGCACGACCCATTGAAACTCCATAGAAATCATGTTTCAGCTTCAATAATTCTGGTGGATGGTATGTGGGAGAGCGATCTTACAAGGCTCGATTCCTGAAATAATTTGATTCCGTCGGGGAAAGTCTCTTCTATCCCCATCAACATGGCCATGCATATCGCATACTGTCACAAATATGGAGCCCCACATGTATAATACGGCGCCTCACCGAAGTCCCGATTAGGCGTTGCGAGAAAGAGCTTTCAATTTGACAGCTCTCGTGCCATTTCAGGGCTGCCCTGAACTAAGGTGAAGTGTTTACCAAGCGAATCTCCCTTCTCTTCGATGAGGTTACTCCAGACTAGCGAGGGATGATCTTGGCGATTTATCAATTTGTTTGGTATAAAATCGGCTAGCTCAATTCAGTTCCCCGCGTTAGGGGTGGGACCCCCACGCAACGGCAGTCTGGATTTTACGCCCAGCACAGACGCCAGTCGCTTTTCCGCGACTGCGCTAAGCTGACATTCAGTAGGCATCATGACTCCGTACAATTTCATGATTTCATTGGGACTGTAAGTACTCGTACAGTACCGGTATCACAATAAACCGGAGCACGGCAAACCCTGTACGGTGCCAGTTCATCGGTTTAGAATCACTTGCATTCGATCTTTTCCGGCGTTTTGTTCAGATAAACCAAAGGCTATAGGGAAAGATCTACCTCCATCTCATCGCCAGAATCTCAGAGGAGTAAAGAAGCAAAAATGGGACAATTTGTTTGGGTGACAACTTTCTGCTCTGGGTATCTCTGACAATTCTGCAAGCCATTTTCACCTGGATCATGTCCAAGGGTAGGAAAAGGAAGGAAGATTTTGCCTCAATTGCAAAACCAGATCCCGGGGTTTTGAGGCTGGCAAGCCCACAGCGAGGAGTGGATCGCTTACGGTAATCGCATTTTGGGACGTGCGCATGCAATAAGCTTGCCCAAACCCAACCGCATGGGCCAGTTGAAGATCCCCGACATACTTGTAACATTTGTTTATGGGTGTCTTAACTGCTTATAGTCGAGGAAATTCCAGTATCATACAAGGACTTGAGTAGGCGGAAAATACCCTTGCTTCTGCCTCTCGCTGCATGAAGCCCGGCAAATGGTTTTATGAATGAGCTGGGGGAAAGGGCGGGGGGAGGGCTCCCGTGGATACGTTCCGTTAGTTCGAAATTCGGCAAATTTGCTGGAAGCAAAGACGATAAAGCGGTGAAGGAGATAAACCCCCAACATGTTCCGCATAGCGTGGGGTGGATACAGCACAATACTGGCACTCCTCATGTGGGGCCTCAGCAATGCTCGGTACTGTAGAGAGCTGGGCCACTCATACCAGTGCACTCGTGGAAATACTGATACTACGAGGACCGCGGGAGAGGGGACCCACCGGCACTCTACCCAGGCAACGAAAAAAAAGAAAAGAAAATAAAGCAAGCGGGATAATCGCACGGGAGGGCAGTCCCCTCGATATGAGAGTTTACAGCACTACCTACTACCTGGTACTTGTACCTACCCAACCTTTCGGGTTACTCCTCTCTGTGAACCGAAAAAGCAACACCAAAAACTCATGAATGAAGTTTCAACAAATGCCCTGTCAAGGCCTGAGGTTTACTTAACCCATAACAAGTGATTCCGGGCGTAATTCTTCCTGGCTTCCCAGCTTTTTATGGATTCTCGACAAAATTCATAAAATTGAATTGTGTGTGCTCGGTGTTTCGGCATCCAGTAACTGAGGGATGCCTTTGATGAGGAAGGGAGGACAAATTTTCTCTTCGCTTTCTTTTTAAATTGATTTTAGTAAAATCAAACCTATCACTACTGACCGGGATTGACCACCTTGCCGATGAAGTACTAGTACAAGTACGGCACCACCGATAGTGCATTATGAGGTGTGGGAGTACAAGAGTCTAAAATGAGCCCAACCTTGCTGTATCGAACCCGAGAGCCTAGCGTGCGGAATCTAATGAATGGTCCCAAATTCCAATACGGGAGCGGGCAGAGGAACAGTGGGTTGGTATCATCAATGCAGGGAATATATCACGGACTGTCACTCACACAACGAACAACTGAATACTGGTACTCGAGTACGGCAAGGAGTGCACGGTACTCGGCACACCAATAAATAAAGAAGGTACGGTATAATAAATAAAGCCTTTGCTTTACAGTATGGATTACTGGTATGTGACCTAGCACAAATAAGGAAGAAAAGACCGAATTTTCGGTTATCGGTTACTAACTACCCCTGGAGTTTCCAGTAGGCTAAAATGAAGGTACTATAATACTCGTAGTAACACCAGATTGAATGGTGAAGCGCGAGTTACAAGTACCGATACGACAATATTTTTCTGGTCACGAGGACCATTTCAAGAGGCAATCATTTAACCCACTCTGTACCCGGTACAATACGGTACAAGCAGAACTCTTAGAGCACCATGCTGCAGGGTACGGGAGGAAAGAAAACAGCATTATGATACCTGTCAATATGCGGAATTCTTTAGGAGGTGAGACATTCGGGTTACTGGGTATGAGATTCGCCAAGTGACCGTACCTCTGTCACCTACAAGTACTCGAGTACATGATTTGTGGAGAGTTTTTTTCTTCTTTTCTTCCTTCGGTTCATCTTTCCTCCCATTCACATCTTCTATTTTTCCCTCGTCGTTTGAAATGGTTTTTAACAGGAAGTGAACCTCATTTGTACCAAAACCGGCCTCCTTTAAAAAAGAAAAGAAAATCAAAATTCGGAAAAGCCATCAAAACAAAAGTCGGAGTCGGAATACCGTTCGTGCCCGATGGTTTCTTTTTTTTCCTCTTTTCCTCTCGCCAGCCCGACTCCCGGTGATTCGTTCTCCCTCCCTGCCTGCCACCCCCCAACTCCAACGGTACGGTTCATGGGATGTAGGGAAATGGAATGACGGGCCAGCCATTGCTTTTTCTTCTTCCTTTCCACCCACCAAACCTCCCTTACTTGTACTTGTTTTTTTCATGTTTTTTTTTTCTCTCGTTCTGCCTCTCCTCTCTTTCTCCTGCTCGTTTCTTTTTCTTTTTTTTTTGGCTTTGACTTTGAGAACCCGTTTGCCCGTCTATTGGAAATGAGATGTGGGGACCTTCCCTTCCTTCCCTCCTTCCCCTCATTTAGTTTTAACTTTTGGGATAATTACGACACGATAATGATGGTAGCAGTAACAATGGTGAAGGGTCATGTTTAGTCTATGACACTGACAGAGACCAATGTATCGTTCACCGAACCGTATAGTACTGGCCCCGTGCTGGCACAAAATTGACGAGCGGGAATGAAGAAACGAGAGGAGACCTGCGGCACCTGCCTGGTTGTACTCGTACAATACAGTACTGTATAGCGTGGGGTTCGTGCGAGTGGAGGAGACAAGGAAGGAGGAAGGGGGTGGAAGGAGGGGGGGGGGTGCGGCACCGGCAGCACCTTAGAGCGTTTGGTTCAATCAATAAATCTTGCACGAGTACAGTGCGAGTTTGGAGTAGACGGGCTCACAAGTGCCATATATCACACGAGTAGCCTATCCTTTACCCAAGCCTCGTATCATACTGCACCTTCAAACCCCCCCCTTCTCAAGAAATCCGCACCAAATCAAACCAAACGACTCAACCGAATTGTGACTGATCCAAGGACCCCATTACATCAACCCTCCGGATCTGAGAATACTATTTTGTGGAGAATAGTCCACCACTCGATCTAGGGAGGGGCAGACACCGTTCTACTGTTACCGGTACCCCCTCCTACCTCTATCCGTCCATGAAGTCAGCCACGATATGCACGCAGTGCAAAATCCGGCTAGGCCATTTGATTGGACGGATAAGATCATGTCGTACCTGCGGCAGGCATCTCGAGTCTTGATTTTTGATTGATTGATTGATGGATGATGATTTTGTTTTGTTTTGACAATCCCTCAGGCGCATCCATCTCACCTCGTGTCTTCTTCTTCTTATTCTCATTCTTCTTGTCTTTGCCATCATGTCTCCTTTCCTTCCTCCCTCCCTTCTTCTTCTTGCTTATCATAATTCCTTGGACGCGACACTTGCAATATCAGATATCACCAATCAATTCCTATTACCGCACGATAACTATACAGTACCGGTAAACTCTAACGAATAACAAGCACAAGCCTACACATTTCCATCGACAAGTGCCATACGGTACTGTAAAACGCACGAGCCTACAGTACAGTACTAGTGCTTCCCCCCTCTCCCCCCCTCCAACTCTTATCGCCGGTTCGTTCGTTTGCTTGAATGATACGGTACCGTGCTATACCGGGCTCTCACCCACCCTCGCCAAAAAAGGCAGAAAGTAGAAAACATCATATCATATCATGGAAAGAAAAAAGAAAAGAAAAGAAAAGGGAAAAAGGAAACATACCGGTAAATGGGCAGCTCAGAAAGCCGCCTTACCGTAATTCTCCAGTACGAGTACAACAGCAGGGTAGATTAAGGTTCGCAGCTCGCTAGCTGGCACCGCACCGGGCCGATCTTGTACGAGTATGATATTATCCCTTACCAGTTACTCGAGTACCGTACTAGTACTATGAGTACCGATACTCGCACAAGTATGATACTACGGTATTCGGCCCTGTCTCGCTAAGCTAAGGTCCGCCCCGTCCAGGATAAAAACCTAGATCCGATTGGTTGTATGTGGCGGTGATGGAGTTACAAGTACCGTACTATCATACCTTGTTTTTTGTATTTAATCTCCTGCTGATCTCCTAAACGCGGTGAGGGAGTGAGTGGGTACGGCAGTCACAAGTGCCCGGTAGCTACAAGTAGCTAAACGGTAGTCTACTGTAGAGTACGAGTACCGGTACCGTACATTACAAGTACAGTATGATACTAGCGCAAATACAATCCCATAACACCCTACAATCGCGCGATTGACTACTGGTACCGGTACTCTCGTATGCCGGTACAGTTGGTTCCTGGACCATGCCAGAACGAGCAGTATTATACGATACGATACTGGGCTCGAATTCGAATTCGTCATGACGGAGTCACACCGTACTCGTACTAATTTACCGTTATTATAGTGTCATGTAACTGTATTGTTAGTGCTGTACGAGTACTGTACTCGTCGTATGACACCCGAAAACATGGACTAGAACTAAACAGATACCGGTACCGGTAACCGGTGCCGTACTGTACAAGTACTAGTACGATATGTCGTATAAAAAAAAAAAACTAGTACTCAAGGTATCCGAGCGCAAATACAAAATCTACCCCCCACTCCCCGTTTCTTCGATAGTATCATACGAGCACCGTGCTATTAGCACGATACGCTACGGTACGGTACGCTACCGGTAACCGGTCGGCCGGCTGGCTGGCTGGCTGGCTGGCGCTGGTTGCGGGGGGGGGGGGGGAGGGAAGAAGGGCGGGAAGTGTACTAGTACGAATACCAGTGCTCTACAGCGGTATTTACCGTTGAGGTGGCTTGGGAACTTTTCGGGATTTTTGCTTATTTGCTTATTTGATTATTTGCTTTGCTCGTTTGGTCTGTTTGCTTGTTTGTTGTTCCGGTATTGTACTGTATTATATCATACTGGTGCTGTATCATAATGTTCATGCCGGCACTCGAGTGGGTACCGTACCGTATCATACCGGTACTCGTACAATACAGAAATCTGCTCAGTACGATTCGGCACAAGGGAAAAGAAAGAAAGAAAGAAAGAAAGAAAGAAAAAAGAAGACTGTGTAACGTCGGCATCGGCATGCATTCTGGCCGAATCGGAAAGTGTGGGTTGTTCCTGAACCCATGTTAATTCCCAATTACCACCAAAAGCTTGAATCTGTGCATCGTTGTTGGAATTTTTTCCTCCCATCATTTGTGCGACTACCGCGGCAGAAAAAGCTTATAAGGTATTCCATCGGGCTATTACCGGTATAGTTATGTTCCTCGTAGTGGGCCTTGATTAAATCTGGGTGGAGTTGCGCTTGCACTCGGGGGTTTAGGAACGGTAGACACTTTCCGAACCGGCAAGCGTAGCACAAGCACAAACACAGCTAGAAATGAATGAATGGACGGCTAGACGGGTTCATCACGGAGTCAAGAGTTTTATGATATTATTGTAAATTGCACGGACATGTGCATTAAAACCATTTTAGGATCCCCCTTGCCGTCTCGCCGTTTTTTCCCCACACCTTCTAAGGCACTGACCGGTACTCCACAAACGTTTAGATGGCACTGTATGTCACCCCACATTCCCCACCAACCAAACAACCAGATTGCCCCCAATCCAGAAGTGTAACCCAAGCAAAAGCCAAACAAGAGCAAGAACAAAATACGCAAAGTGCTTCTTGAAGTGAAGGCAAAGAAAAGAAGTTTATCAGCACGTAAAAGAAACTGAGGGAGGTTTGAACATCATCATAATCTATCCCTACTGGCAAAAAAAAAAAAAAATGAAACGTATGAAGAAGAGGAGATAATTCTCTAACGAGAAGCGCTAAAAAGGAGAAGTAAAACGGAAGCATGGAGAACGTCAGGAAATGACTGCACTAGCGTGTCGGAGGGGCTTCTAGTCAATTATGACCAAACATCCTCCTATTAAGGGCGTATTAGTGGACTGTTGCGGAAAAATGGGAAAGAAAGGGAGAAAAAAAGGGGGGAATAAAGAGAAGAAGCTTGGCTAGCTGCGCATAGCGTGCCATATTGACACAGGGCCTAGGGACACCATATATAGGCAATTCAAGCGAAGAAACAGACTTACTTGGTAGAGATTGCTAGATCTTAGCCTCTTGACAATTTCCTCCCCTTGAGTCTCTGTCATACCCCTCTCCTGAGCGATGATGTTTCCAAGAGAAGTATTGACCTCCCTGGCCATATGGGCGGCATCTCCGCAAACATAGAAGTAGCCACCTTGAGCCAAAAGCTCATTAACTTCTTTAGCGTGCTCTTTCAATCTGTGTTGCACGTAGACCTTCTCAGGTCCATCACGCGAGAAAGCGGTGATGAGCGAGAACGAATCGCCGAGTTTTTCAGCATATTCCTAGTTGGTTTGACAATGTCAGCGAGGTGGGTACTACACGAAGTGCCAAATGCACTGACCTTCCATTCTTCCTGGTACAAGAAATCCTCAGAAGCCCTCCGACAGCCGAAGAACAGCAATGTCTTCCCAATCTTCTCACCCTTCTCTGCAAGCGCCGCACGTTCCTGAACAAAGGCTCTGAAGGGCGCTACACCGGTGCCGGGCCCAATCATAATAACAGGCTTGGAAGGATCGCTAGGAAGTCTGAAGTTGGATGCTCGGGTATGGACCGGAACATGGATACCGTCGTATTTGTTCCTAGGACCAGTGATTGCGTAACTAAGTCCATGTGGGTCGGGTTCCGGGTCCCCATGTTGTTTCTGCTTAAGGGCGAGAAGGTAATTTGAGGTAACGCCCTTTAGAACATGCGAAGCTCCAGGAATATTGATAGATTCGACGACACAAGTGATCGAAATAAGTTTCGGTTGAACCAACGAAGAGGATGAGATCGAGTAATAGCGCGGTTGAATACGATTCAATCCTTCAATCATCAAGGAGAAAGGGACGTTTGACCAAGCCTCGCCAGGTGCGTTAAGTTCCAAGACCTGTGCAATGTTGAGATACCGAGATGAGACTGTCTCTTGGAAGTAGTCCTTGTCGCCACCGAGCCTTGTGAGTTCCTCTTTGGCGGCGGGGGTTGGGGCGAAAGCGGCGAGAGACGCAAGGAACTGACGGGAAACAGGAGCACAGATCTCGAGATGGTAGCGGGCGATGGCGTCATAAGTGGTAGGGGTTGGAAACGGAACCTTCGCAGTAGGGTCGATCCCGGCAACGCCGACCACACCATCCTTCTTCCCTTCAAGACCGAGGACTCCCAAGAATCTATCAACCTCCTTACCAGCGTTGGTGGGCCAAACAGCGATATGATCACCGGTAGTGTAGGAAAGATTTGTGCCGGTAACATCAATTTCCATGTGCAAGCAGTTTCTATCCTTGACTGTGAAGATTTCACGGGAAGACTTGACCGGTGCAATAAATGGATTGTTGGCTCCATAGGGTCCCTTAGAAGCTCCTTCGAGATGATTCTTGTTCGGTTCGCCGAGGTAGACAGTGTTGTCTTCAACTGAGAGATCCGTGAGTTCGGTAATGGAGAAAACAGGTTCATAGACAGCTTCTCTCTCCTCCAAATCCATCTCCTCTTGGAGTGCTTTCCACATGGGCTCCTTCCACGCCAAAAAATCCTCTTCCATAGTACCAGTACCATCATCGCCTTCACCAATAGTACCAATCTGCTTAGCGCCCAATTTCAAGAGAGTTGCAGTTAGACGACGGACGACAGCGTTAAAGTGCTCATAAGTGTTGTTGCCCAAACCAAAGCCAATGAATTTGAGGTTGCTCAAGCGATCGCCCTCGGTAAAATTAACATCGTCGCCCATGATGAATTCGTAGAAATCCACAGCGTTGTCAGTCGGTTCACCTTCACCATAAGTAGCCATGACGAAAACCGCAATCTTGTCTTCAGGAAGGGTGTCCAGGTTTTCGTAGTCGAATTCCTCAAGGTTCGCAATCATAGTCTTCAAACCAAATCTAGCACTGCCCTCTTTCGCCAATCTGGAAGCATAATCTTCAGCTGTTCCTGTCTGTGAACCGTAAAAGATAACCATATTCTTATCGGATTCTTCCATGGTCTTAACAATATCCCTAGTTTTGCTGCCCTTTGTGGCGGCGCCATTTGCCTTAGAGCCTCCATAAATTCCAGCGGCGGCGCCTTTCTCAACAGCCCAGAGTGAACCTTTGGTGAAGTATGCGATAGTACCGAGAAGTAGAGCCGCAAGGACAAGAACGTCCAACGTGTCTAGTTGGGTGGCCATGACTCTTGAATCCTGCAACGGCAAGGGATCAGTTGTCAGTGGGAGAAATTTTAGAAAAGATGATATCAGGAGTGGGGGGGTGGCGTCAATAAAAGAGAGAAAAGGAGGGAAGGAATGGGTAGCAAGCAGAAGAAAAAGGAAAGGAGAGGAGAGAGATGGATGGGACAGGGCAGCGGAAGACGAAAAATGAATGGCCGCAAGAGTGAAAAGAGTACCGGGATGGCAACCGATAAGGCCAAGGCAACAAACACAGCAGGCAGAGGGAACAAAGATCCCAATCCGCCTTCTACTCTGCGCAACGGAAATTTTATAGAAAAGAAGGGGGGGAAGAGGGTATCATAGCATTAACAGAGAAACCGAGGGGAAATAAAGAGGATGGGGATGAAGAATAGAAAGGATCAACAACCAGCAGGTAGATCTGCAGCCAGAAAGGACAGCGTTGCAACAGTCCGGAACCAGAGATTGTCCGAACGCCTGATCCGACCTTGTGGGGGAACCTACCGGTAGAGAGGTTATGCAGGTTGAAGAGAGGCAGAACACAACAGTGGCAAAAAAAACAACAACTTAAGTTCAGGAAAGTTATCTCCCGAAACTCAATAAAAAGAACACGGGACCTTCCCTCGCAATTAATAGACGGAAATGCTAAGAGAACTCAAAGTACGGAGGTATCATATATAAGAAAAAAATCCCGGTTCTTACACCTCGTTTAGCCCCAGAAGTTAACCTGCCCAGCAGGAACCCCGTATCCAGCAGGACTGGAGATTTATTCATCTGAAATGACCTTCCCGTGCTGTATAGGCTCAAAATCTGGCTACAAACTCAGTGGTAAGAACGGGCCCTTTCATACAGAAGAGAGTGGGACATAATGTAGGAATTACCCTCAATAGGAATGACTATTTAGATAGTCCTCTGCCCCTCGCCCAGCTAAATGACCTGCTCACTGGCTTATTGTTGCACGAGGATGTCAGTGAGGATAAAGCCACAAAGAAAAATGAGTATATGTGCGGATTCCGCAGATCAGAGGGTCTGTATAAACTTTTGTACGGGTAGGACTCGAGGTGGTGACAAATCGTGAGGGTGCGTTGAAAGATAACGGTAGGCGGATACTGGAAACCAAGGCTTCGGTGCTGGGATGATCTACAGATTTATAGAAGATCAAATGGTATCAATCAATAGGGTAGTAAATTTATGATGATATCGAACGATGGAATACCATGGCTTCAGCCAAGCTCTATGGAAATTTCTCTATATGTCACACACAGTTCTTCAATACAGTCATACAAGCCGGGCTCTTGGAGGTATCGGTAATGGTGGCCGAGTAAAGCTTCGGACTGTGGGACCCTTACCGACACACCTTGATGAGGCGTGGAGGGGCACATTGCTGTCTCAGGCCCCGCAGACTTCTAGAAAACTATTTCTATACAGTAAATCCGTAGTTGGGTATACGGACAAAAAGGGGAAAAAAAGACGATGTAACTCCGATAGTCCTTTTCTCTACGGGGGGGCTGCGTGAGGTACGGTACCGGTACCTGTATTAGAGGCTACTTGTATCTCGAAAAAAAGGGGGGATACTACAGTACGGTATCAGAGTGAGCAGGGAATAATGTGGGTTAATAATCATTTCCTACGACCGCAACAATTCTGCTTGGGTTCGAAACCCTCGAGAGGACAGCCGCAATTTAGAGGTACCGGTATCAACTCTAAGGCTATAATCTACTTTCCTAGTCGCCCGATACTTGGAATTTCGCCCCATTTACTAGCCAGAGTTCTAGCGGACTCCAGAGCGGCTTTTGCAGCGGCACACTCACTGGCTCTGCCGGCAACTTACTATCGGGCCACAGCCAAGCATGATACCGCTACTCGTATTCAGGTTGGAAGCAATTCCCGGTGGACTTTCGGTCCCAAGCATCGCGGGACGGTTCCCGTTCCCAGGTCTAGCCTACTATATTCAACCCCCTTCCCTGATTTGTGGTCAAGCTAGATACCTTACCTATCCGATCTTAACGGATTCAGAAAATCCCCTATGGTGCAGAACATCATCTCATCTTAGCCAGTGATAAATTCGCCATCATAAAATATCGGTGGGGCAATGTTGTATGACACGGCTCCTCTTACGCTATTCCGCTGGGTTCCGAACCATGGTGCGGCGGGGTTAACGCCGGCTGTTCCACAACCACACACCCTCCAGAAGCCCAATAACTGTCGCTTGAATACCGGTACCGTATGTTATCGTAGTGTAGAGCTGTGCTCTCAAGACTCTGATGTCTGATGGCGTATATCTGGAGAGGCTCCCCCCGACTGCGTTTATTTAGTCACTCTAAAGTGTGAAGACAGCAGAACCACTGAGGCTCTTCAGCGTCCACCGAAGAGGGACAACTCTAGACATTTTCCCGACCCCGTTCAGAAACGGTCCCCTCCCCAGCCAGTCTGCACTGTTAGGAAGAAACCAGACCTTTCAACAATGCCCGGATTTCCCAAGATACCGGACGGAAATCAGCTTCTCCGTTGATGTCGTACCAATTGCGGGACTGGCTAGACTACCATAAGAACTCGAATAAAGGGACCATGTGGTCGGACGTTAGATTTGCCCCTCCCAGCAAGGCCTGGTGTTTTTCTTTTCTTTTTTATTTGTCTCGGAGGGAGGACTTTTTGGTGCGTTTCTCGCGCCTTTTCCAGAGGGGGAAATTCTGGACTGCATCGCACATGGTCCGTTTATTCGAGTTCTTAAATGACGGTAGATGCTCACCGGATATTAACTCCTGTGAATTATGAACTACCGTATCATAAGCTATCCTAAGGGATTCCAGGAATTGTCGAGGGATTGTTGGTATATCCGAAAAATAGCCTGCGCGGTCTGGGACTTTGCGGAGAAACAAGGAGTGAGGGGAACCACATATTGACTTCCCGAAGCAGGGTTGTGTGTTACTTGTATTTCCTAAGGTCGCGCGTCCCGGGATCCCCACAAATACCGGTATACGGATAATTTAGGCCAGGGTCTCATCCAAGCCTCCCAATACCATTATCTTACGAACATCGGCGAGTGCGAGGATAGATCCTACGCCCACTCGCAGCCTTCGACCGGCGCTACATGTGATTCTGTCAATTTCACCCTAGTGCCAAGAGTTGATTGCCCGAAAGCCAAAATAAGCTCATCGAGAGCAAGGAGCACCAGCTAATCGCTAGGTAGCACGTGGGATTCGGCACGCCCGAGATCCGAACCACTCCCTGCAGGAAACACCCCCCAAACCCTAACCCAGATGCTATCCCTCAAGATCGCCCAAAGTACCTGCACATGGTTTTGGGAGTCGGAGAGCTTTCGGATCTGCTTGCCTGATGGGGCCGAGATAACCATCGCAACGGCACCAAAAGGTTTTGATGACAGAAAGGACTCCCCCAAATTGATCTCTGGATCTTTAGTTGGAAGGCTTGAGCAGTTGGTTGCTTCCGGGACGGTATCATGCTTGTATCGCTGAATTTGGAGCCAAGCCTCTAATAGCGGCGAACATCGGATTTTATGTTGTGCTGTCATACACAGGCCGAAGCTCTACTAAACTCTTTTTTCAAGAGGAATCGGAGTGGCCGTATCCCCGCAGAATTCCTCCGAAAGCTACTCCTCCTACCTTCATCTCCTCTGGTTTTGGGCGGAAGTGAGCCTGGGTTTCTGTTGCCCAGTCTACTACCTCTCCTAATCCTCCGATTGCCCGGAAATATGAATCTTGATCGACAAAATCTCGGATGGCTCTCGTGGGCATATGCTTCTCCCCTCAGCCCGGAAACGGTAGCGGTAATGTGCTCGTACGGGCATGAGTAGTGGGGAGAAAGAAGGTAAGACAAGCATACAGCCTGGGCCAAGCACCCGTATGTGTGAATCATAGTGGCCATCGCATCAAGGGGCAGCGGATCTTATGACGATTGCCCCGGGGGGCGAGGGCTCATATGGTTATAATAAAGTCAGCACATGCTGTGCCGTAGAATTGTTCTCGGGGGGGGGGGGGGTGAGTTCCACCTGTGTGTAATAATGCTGATGATCCGGTGATGTTGATGGCTTCGTACACTTTGGGGCCCATAGCCATGTATCATAAAATATGGCACGATAGAAGGGGAACGAGGGGGCTGGGGGGCTCACGCTGCCGGTAGCTGCCCCCTTCTCAATATAACTCACAGTATCATCCATTGTTATATTTCTCCTGAGAGCTAAGTGCCCGGCCAACCTAGCTCCCGTGATAGCTTATCTTACGCCCGTCTATGATACTTACGATATCGGTGGGCAAGGATCCAAGTGTATGGTGAATCCGGGGATATGTCAGTGAGAGTGGAAACAAGATTCCAGGCTACTATCGAGCGAACGGGGTATGCTTTCTTTTCTCCTTTTTTTTCCTTCTTCAGGTTTCCGGCGACATGGGCTGAAGGGAGCAGCGTATTGGTGTGGTGGAGGGTATACAAGAAAGCCGACGGGGCACGGGGAAAGCATGGTTAGCACGACTCTCTAAAGGAGTCAAGTTTTACTGAGGTTTTGGTGGATATAGGAAGAGAATGTACCCGAATTGTAGCTGAAACGTTCGGGTCAGCGTGACGGCAGTTGAGCTGTACTCGAGTACTGTACCGGTGTCCCCTGAGGGGAGCGTAGGGATAATGGTATCAGTATGATACAAGGTTGAGAGTCAAACGCCTGCGGAAGCGGTAAGCAACAGCCGGAGCCCTTTTACGTTCTCGAAAGGAGGGGTTTACATGACACCGTGGGGGGAAGAAAGAAGGGGTCTACGGATTCCATACTTGCGCTCTATGCTGAATCGTGTGCGTGCCGCTACGAGTACTGTAGAGTACTCGTACAGAATGTATTTGTATCATAATATCATACTCGACACTCCCTAACCATGCCGGTCTACTGTGTTGGGCTCGACCTTGGGAGCTTTGACCCGCGCCCTCTTCCTTATCCATCGTCGCTACAACCGCCCCCTTCCCCTCATTGCGGTGCCGGTGTTGCGCCTGTCACAATTTGCTTCGCGCTCTCGTCCTGACTTTTGAGGTTACCGCCATGTCGGAAGCCTCTGGATCGGTACCCAACCAACCCTCCTTTCCTTCTCCTGGTTCCCCTTGTCGCATCACTCCTTTTGTCCTGAACGAAAAAATATCACCCCTGGATTCAGGTTCCCTGGTCTTTGCTCCCACCCACCCCTGTAAATCTTCCATCCTGGTCGTTCCCTCATCACTCGGCGTGCCGAAATCTGCTCGCCTGTTCACCCACATTGATCACGACCGAGCCTCTTCTCTCACTGTGTGTGGCGCCCCCCCGTACTGGACTCTACGCAACAACCGAGTTTCTCACCCTGCGCCTCCAGGGTCTGGGAATACCGGTAGGTATCATATTACAGGTACCAGTATACTTCTCTTGCGGCTGTTTGCTTACTGGACGGCAGCCCTCATCCGTTTCCGTCTCTTAAATTCTCTGCCTCCTTGGCACAATGTCTGGGGTCCACCAGCAGCGGTCTCAATCCCCCCGCCCTGAGAACGGGAGGCTTGAACGAAAACCCTCGACACATGCCCACCACCGCCAAACCTCTATTGTGAATGGGGTGCAACATCGCTCTGGTCTTCACTCACGGTCAGGATCGTGGGTAAATTCGCCGGCAACTTCGCCTCTTTCGCCTCCGACGGTAATGCACACAATTATCGCGGCTAGAGACATGGTACACATCCCACAAATCCCACCATCACCTATGGCACCGATGATGTCTACCGGCATGGCGAGCTCGGTGAGGGAACAGATTCAGATGCCCCAATTTTCTTCAGCAACATCGGCATCCTCAAACATGAACGGTGGAAACGCGATTGGGGTAGGCTCCGGAGGAGGACTTTCCGGACCTGTACCGAACCAACAAGTTATGGTCGAGAGACCCCCGATGATGGCCCACCAATCTTCTCCAGGCGTTATGCAGATTCAGAAACCTCCAAGGACGAGAGCACATCACCATTCGCATTCCCACCACCATTCTTCACATCACAGATCACGTGACGAGGAGACGAAGACTCCGGCTGAATATGCTCTTCATATATTGTTCACCCAGGTTGGGAACAATCCGTTTTTCATTACTGAAGGAATGACCTGTGCTGATGTTAGGGCAGTTTGTCCGTGTTGCTGAGCGAAAAATTAATAGTTGCTTGCCCCCAAACCATGTTTTGGACACGGAACCCCAGATCGAAACCATATGTGGTGCAGGGGTGGATCCAGCATTTGACAAGTTGATAGGTTCATTAGGTGTGTGGATTCAATGGCTGTTGTGCGCTGGTAAGCTAATATGTTACAGGGTATATCGCTCGACATAAGCCCAAGCCGGTCATCGATAGTGTCATGTTTTGGAGGAAGAGCAAGAGTGAGGCCGCCGCGATATCAAGGCAGGAAATGTCTCAGGTAATTGGGTTAGAATTGATTTGTGGAATGCGAGAGGCTAACTCAACTTGTGCCAGCAAACTCGTGGTCTCCCTAATCAGATTGTGCCCCGACGAAACACCGAACCGCTTAACGGCGTAGATGGCGTTAGCCAGGGAATGCGTGAAAGTTCCTTGGTAGCTGACCGCCGTTCCACAATATCGATATATATTCTGTGTCGGGTTTTGATAGAAGTAATAGGCCAGACAACGTTGGATTGTGTTACTGAAGATATGGCGGATAAGTTGGAGGATATAATATTTAACCAATTGCGCTCAGCGGACCCGGATACTTTAACTTCATCGCCGCTAAGGATGGCAAACTGGACGTTGTTTGGACAATTGTTGGGTGTTATGAGCAGTATTGACTTTGAGAGGGTCACCGACCGGTTCTTTGCCGACCTTGAGAAGATGGGAACTATTGCGTCAAAAGACACTGAAGCTAAGGTGGAGCTTGTGGTTAGAGGGATGAGTTATATAAAGCTGAGGGTTAGCGACCATGATCTTTTCCATGTCCTACCAGATGGCTACTTTGTTGGCCGACACTGACGCCAATTCCTTTTGTAGTTCTTCCCGGAGAACGCGCTTCAGGAATCCGCAGATTTCATGCTATCGTTGGCCAATTTCTTCAATAAATCCCATGGCTTTCGAGTGAAGCGTTCCTACTGCGAAATATTTTCGAAATTACTCCTCCCAGTTGCCTCTACTGCGAAAACCGAACTTAATTATCCTACGTGGCAGGAGTTTGTTAATCTTTTACATCCAAAATTGAATGATATGATGACCAAGCCACGCCACTGGCACACCGCGTTTCCACTCATGGGCACTCTTTTATGCGTTAGTCCACATGAATTCTTTGCTCAGTGCTGGTTGCCGCTTATTGAAAGCAACCTGCCCAAGCTTAGGGATAAGGATAGGTCTATGCGCGTCCCTATTGTGCAAACGCTGGCGAGGTTAACATGGACGTACCTCTTCCGGTGTTCGGAAAGTATGAATAATACAACCAAGAAACTGGAGAGAATAATTCAAATATTACTGACGAAGGAGAAGAAAGAGAAATCACTGGTAACGGCAGAACAACAGGTCGTGGAGCCTTGTATTCAATTGATCCGCTTCATTGGTTTCAAGTACCAAGATCTCTGTTTCAGATCTGTGGTTTTCCCTTTGCTCAATGTCGATCTATTGTCCGGGGCCAATACTCTGAGGCTGGAGCAGTTATCACCTGAAGGGATGGTGGTTGGAATTCGGGCTTTCCTAGCAATTATGGCCGATCTGGAGAAGGGAGAGCCAGGGCTTCCACCGTTTCCCGAGACATTTGCCTCCAGCCCCCCCGAGAAGATACCGCCGACCTCGACGTGGCTGGCTAAGATTGAGGCTGAAAAGAAAGACGGTGTCAAGGTGAAGGTGGATCGAAGGTCTCAGGCGGTGGCAGTTGAAAAATTGGGGAGCACAGCGAAAGAGTATTATGACAGGTTCTGTGAAGTTCTTGGGCGAATCATTGTGCTCTGTGATACCAATTTTGGCGGTCAGGCTGTTCTGGATGAAAGATTTGCTGGGCCACCAAAGACGCCCCAAGAGAATAAATTTTCTTTTGGAACCAAGGACGAGCCGCCGGCAATTTCCGAGCAGAAGCAGAGCTTTTACGAACTATTGCATGTCGCCATTCAGGCATTGCCTCGGTGCCTTCCGCCAAATATTCCCTTTTATAAGGTTGTCAATCTCTTGTGTAGTGGTACGGCACACATTGACCAAAATGTCGCGACAGCGTCTGCGAACGCCTTGAAGAGTATTGCGAGGCAATACAATTCCCAACAAGTTATTATTGGTTTTGCGAGATTCATCTTTGCCTTTGATGAAAGGTACTCGACGACTTCGGATGGTGGTATGTTAGGTAGTGGGCATATCGAGAGTACGCTAAAACTCTACATCGAATTACTTCGGATATGGTTGGAAACCATCAAACAGAAGGTCAAGGGTAGCCGAGACGCAGCTTCTGATTCGCCTGCATTGGATGATCGGGGGTTGGGGAATAGGTGTGATGATTTAGAGTACTCCAATGTGCAGGCTCATGTGGATGAGATCGAGTCAAACGGTCTTTTCTTCATATGCTCGCAGTCTCGAGTTGTAAGGCGTTTTGCAATTATGGTCTTAAGAATCATTACAGAGTTTGATGTGGTTTTGAGCGAACCAGCAGATATCGGAGGAAATATTTTGGGTCACTCAAGGAAACCAAGCCACTTGAGTAACTCGCCAGCCTATCCACGAGTCATTCATATTCTGGAGAGCGATTCCTTAAATGTTATGAACTTGAACGACGAGAACCTACCTGTGGCCGAGCGCAGCAGGCTACAACGGGAACTTAAGGATTCTAAGTCGAAGGATGCCCTGGTTCAAATGGCCATTAGCGATAACCAGTATGACGCATCTCTCTGGTTTAGGGTCTTCCCGAGCCTGATTAGGGTGTGTGTGGAGAGATGTCCGACCACTGTGGCATTGTGTAGGGATTTGGTGTGCGGAAGGTTAGCTCAGATGCATCAGTCGATTTGCGCCATCGCCCAGACTTCCACGGCGCCTAGCCTTGGTACTTTTGAGATAGTGCCAAAACCAATTGTCAGGGCGTTTCCTCCGACAAGCCCCGAGAGCATGATTGAGCAATGGAAACTCTATCTGACAGTGGCCTGCTCAACTCTAACGTCAACGGATGGAGAAAAGACGACGCCGCGGCCCCGAACCCCTCAGCATGCCAGAAAACCATCAAAAAACCAGACACCGTTGGCTCCCTATCACCTTGACCGAATAACTTCGGCGAGGTCAGTTTTCGGGATGGTGATTCCTCTTTTGATTATGGATAGTAAGACTATCCGGGAAGCGGTAGTGGCTGGGCTGGGTAGCATTAACATCAATCTTTACAAGACGTTGATTGAGAGTCTTCAACCCACAGTTTTGAAGTGGAACTCCGAAGTGACAATTAGAGGAGGGAAACAACTCAATGCACCAAGACGGAATCGCCGTCAGGACAGGCTGAGGGCTGAAGTCACCCACGTATTCCAGCTTACATCACACTTCCTCCAAAAAGAGGAGGTCTACCGAGATGATTGGATATTACGGCATATGGTAGCGTTCATAAAGGACATGAAGACTTTCCTTAGCGATCCCGAGGTGCAAAACGATTGGGAGCACCAAAAACTTCGTCGTTATTTTTGTGGGCTTACTGAGGAACTTTTCGAAGGAATCAAGAAAACAGATAATCCGATTCGATGGCTACCGTTTGAAGGAAGGTTGTCTATTTTTATACTGATGCAAGATTGGTGCGGGCACGGCCCGAATTGGCAAGCTGTGAAGGACAGGGAAGATAAGATGAGGCGCTCGGTGTTGGAGTTCCAAAGAGACCCAACCGATCAGGGGACGCTTACGGCGGCAATGGAGATTGAGAAACGGAATCTTAAGATTGCAGCCTTAAGTGCGATGGCTTCACTTTGTGTAGGTTATTTTTTTGAGAAGATTTTTTGGGATTTGGTACAAAATCCCGCTAACCAATCCATTTCGCAGGCTGGGCCCGTGGTGGAGGACATTGAGAGCAATGCACCCCTTCAATTCAATGTGGATGGGCTTTTCCGGTGGATCGAGTCGATATTTGCTACTCCCAGCGACAGGACCCACCGGATTGGGAGGCGAGCACTCAAAAACATACTGTTGCACAACCAGAAGACGAATCTCTTGAACAATGCCATCAGGCTGTGTTATGTTTACGACTCCTCGGCCAAAGCGACACAGAGCTATTTCGCAGTGATCTCGGAGGTTTTGAGGGAAATGCCCAATTATCTGGAGGGGGTCTGGAAAATAATGGCTGTCTGCTTATTCAAACTTGGAGATGAAAACGCCGAAGTCAGGCTGCAAGCAGCTAAGCTATTGAGGGTAACCGAGGAACGTGAGTATGGAATGTCCAGAGTTCAGGATTTTGAAGTCAGTATTTCGGACAAAACAGTTGCCGTTTACAAGCGTGCGCAGTTTCAACTCTCCAAGGGCCTCTCGATGGCATACCCTGATCAGGCGATGCTTATATTTTCGGAGCTCACAATGTTCTTCAATCATACTGAAGGAAAAGCTCAGAGGGACATACTTCATGCGCTTTTGCCATGGATTCAGACCATCGACCTAGCGCTCGAGCCAAACGGTGATCTGCTTCCGTCTTCGTATATGGTCCTGGCAAACCTTTACGAGATTACGGTCAAGTTTAGCAGCAAAATTCATAGCGAAATACAGGCGGTATGGCAATCGCTGGCAACTGCGCCGTTTCTGGGGAATGTACAAGTCATCTTGGACTTTATATTTAATCAAAGCCTAGAACGCCGGGAACAAAATTTTGTCGAATTTGGCAAACAGATTGTGGTTTTCCTGTCCGAAACAATGGCGGGTGCGAAACTTGTGGAGGCCTTAACAGCGTATTTGCAGCCAAGGTTGATGATAATAACTGTGAAGGAGCCTTCGCCAATCCCGGATGCTTCACAGTTCCCTTACGTCGCCGATTTGTCCAAGTGTGTGTCGAATGGTGGGAAGCCGGTAAGTGATTCTTAGATGTTCGATTCCATTTTACGTCTTGTTAAAACTAAACGTTTCAATAGACTGGCTTCTCATACGGGCATCTGGCGATGATTCTGATGGTGGATCTTTTGGTTGGCCCTGTCCCAGAAATGTTGGACAAGTTGACACTCCTCCTCCAAGTTGTCTTTGTGCTCTGGGATCACTACGTCCCGCTGGTGCAAGAGCAGGCAAAGGAAATGTTAATACATCTCATCCATGAGCTCGTGATCCCATATCTTGGCCAGGAGGAGAGCACATCGGCTAGACTTACGACATTGGAATTTATCGAGACCGTTCGCCAGAGGGATTCGAAAACCTTCTGGTCCTACGATGAAATCAGCTCTGACGAAGAGAATGGCTTGAGGGTTCCGAAATCGATGGGACATATGGTACCTAGTGTGCTCGAGATGTTTTCTGCTGTGGCTCCGGGTCTAAAGGCCTCCTGGGGAAGGGTTGCACTTTCGTGGGCTACTTCGTGCCCCGTTCGACACCTGGCTTGTAGGTCATTCCAGGTTTTCCGCTGCTTGTTGACATCCCTGGATCATAGCATGCTTGCGGATATGTTGGCTAGATTATCGAACACGATTGCTGACGATGTTACGGACATCCGGCTCTTCGCGATGGAGATTCTGATCACACTAAATGCCATTATCATGGAAATGGATGAAGAATCTTTGCTACAATACCCACAACTGTTCTGGGTCACGGTTGCCTGTCTCAACACCGTCCATGAGGGAGAGTTCATGGAAGTTTTGTCGATACTTGAGATGCTTTTGGTCAAGATTGACTTGTCCGACCCGGCTAAGGTGGCTTACCTAATGAACGCATTTCCTCCGAAGTGGGTTGGTAAATTTGAAGGGTTGCAAAGCCTTATCGACAAGGGTCTCCGATCGTCGATTTCGTATGGAAGAACGCTAGCGGTGTTTGACAGACTGAACATCATTCCCACCAATGAGCTTGTCGGGGGGGATAGTAGGTTGCTTTTCGCTGTTCTGGCAAATCTGCCTAGACTTTCGCAAGCTCAAGACGACGGCACTCCCAACGGTGAGGACATGGCTTGCGCGGAGAGACTCCGGGCGCTAGCGGAAGTCCGGGAGTGCAAGTCCTTGATTCGCGTGATGATGCTTTATGTTGGGCAGAGGTTTAGGAACAAGAGGGACTTCATGACACAGACTGTAACTGCTCTGAAGGAAACGTTTTTTCCCACATATGAAGCACAAGCTCTAGTTTTCTTGGTTGGATTATTGTCGAATAAGCTGAAATGGGTTAAGCTGAAGACAATGCAGCTCCTTACGATAATGCTTCCATTAATCGACATGCGAAAACCGGCTTTTGCGGGCGTGGGTGCCGATCTCATATCTCCGCTTTTGAGACTACTACAGACGGATTATGTCGAACAGGCCCTTGAAGTTCTGGACAAGATGATCACGATTTCCGGCGGCCCAATGGACCGGCATGTTATGCGTATGAGCATGGGGAACAGGACCATCCGAAAAGAGTACGAGAAGACGCAGACTCTATTTGGTATTCCCGATGAGAGCGGCTGGGCGATCCCTATGCCAGCGATCAATGCTGCCATGACAAGGGATAACGTTCATGCTGTCTTCTACACTTGCACACAAGCAGCCGTTGCCGAAGAGGAAGAAGCGCCACCCACACCGGACGTCCAATTCCATATGGAAGATTATTCATACACTAGTATACAGGATAGGACGGGTACAATGCTTAGCGAAGATGGAAGAGGTGAGGGTGGTTTTAGCGATACAGTCCTGAGGTTGGGAGATTTGGATGCTTTCTTTGGTGGGGACGAAGGTCTCTCGAGTCACAATCATACACCTTCACAGGCAGATGCAGAATTTATCGAGGGCGGTGAGACTGCTCCTCAGGTTTATGACAGTCGTGTTTATGCAATCTTGAATAGATCGCTAGCTCGCACTCCCAGCGTGACATCTTTTCAGACGTCATTTGCCGACTCCCTCAGCACTCCAATGCCCCGAGATCAGCAGCCAGGTGTCATGACACCAACAGCTTTTACAGCCCCTCCAATCCTACCGGGAAGGGGGTATACACCAAGGTCGGTCTCATCTCCACAGTTGCGTAACATGGGTCGCACTGGGGAAGAATCTCTCTCCGAAGCAGAGGAAGAGTATGATCATTTGAACAATTCAGATGTTGATCCTGGTGATACAGGGGGACTGCTCTCTCGTGAGGGCGCTCAGGACAGCGCATTCCTACTCGACAATCTGCTCGACAGGCTTGGTGAGGGGGGAAGGGCCGGCATGAGAAGGGTTTTCAAAGGCGGGAATAAGGAGAAGTCTGATACGCCGCCGTCGTCTGCTAGGGCCCCCTCTAGAGCACCCGCCAATAGAGCACCGAAGAGCCCGAAAAAGCGTGGAGATTATCAGCTGAGGATGGCACACGGCTTCTGAGCGAGGTTCTCTTTTTCAATTTCTCTGCTTTTATATTTCCCCCTTCTTCCTTACGTTTGATGATCAACGCCGCCTTATTTTTCTTCTCTTTTCTGCCTTTTCCTGTTTTCAGTTTCCCATGTCACATCCCTCCTTTCCTTTCTTTTTGACGCTCAATTCCACAGATACTTGATTTTAAATTCTAGGGGGTTCGTTCTGCTTTTTATATATATCTATTATCTACACTGTTCGCTATGTTTTTCATCTGGGTCGGGAATTGCATATGCATGCGTTTGGTTGGTTTCTCCTTAAAACATAGGTTGCGAGCGGGATGGAAGGTGCATAATCTTGTTTTCTTAATTTCTTTCTTTCTCTTTAATTTCTTTTACAACTTGCTGTAATTCTCCCTAAAGTTTCAAAGTATCTTTGTGTAGTTTGTGGGGAAATTGAGCTTTGGCCCATAGACGAAATTGTGTGTACTGCTTGGTTGCTTGAAAGGTGTGTTCGTGATATCCGGATGGGGTTCAGATCTAGATAGTTTGTTGTGGGGAGGGTGAGACATACGGGGATTATGCAGCAGGATAGGGAATGATAGAATTGAATGAACCCCGCTTCAATCGTTTACTTGGAGTAGTAATGGGCAAGCTCGGTTCCGGTCGGTGATGCACTCTACCGGTATTCCAGCAATCGTGATTGGGTTACATCTCACCCTCCATTACTCATTGGTGATAGATCCGACTCTTCCGCACCGTACCGTGTTCCAGTGTTCTAGCTGTGCCTAATAGATACCGTATGATATGAATACAAAATCCGGGAAATCAGAACCCAGCGACCCTCCTCCTAATCGATATCATAGCACCGGTGAAGTCCCCCAAAGCCCGACATTCCGAACGGGTGTATCTCGAATCCGGAAATCTCCAGATACCGGCACACTGTGCTGTGCGATCCCATTGGCCAACCCCCAAAGATATAAATAATAATAATAATTCTCAAAGCGCTGACCTCACTTTCACCACGCGCGGGAGGGGGAAAAGACTGCAGGTCGTTTTCCACCATTATACTCGTGTCTTGGGGTGGGGGGTGGGGACAGATCATTCAGGATGGCCAAACACGCCCACCCATACACCGAGCGACTCAAGTGACGTACTGGAATCTTTTTAGTTTACGGCGACCTCCTGTGAACCGTTGTGTTATTCTTGGGTCGGTTTGTTGTGGGTCCCTGTATGATGCGACGGCGCGGTCGGCAAAGGGTAGGAAAATACGAGTGATATATTGTGATGACAGATACCTGGCTCCTATCGTTGGGCTCTGGTTGATGGTTGCTAACGCCGTGGATCCCGCCCCATGGATTGTGGAATTCCAAATTCCGGGTGGGGAGTATCCATACCTGACTTCATTTCATTTCTCTCCTCTTTAGGGGAAGTAAAATTAGTTGGAAGTGAGATTAATGCCGTATATTAAAGGGCGGTTAGCCGTATATGGCCACTATTACAAGGGAATTCACTCGTTTTGATACTAAAGGGTATATACATATGATAGCATCCATTACCTGCGATATCATAGCTCTTCCAAACAAAAGGATGCAAAAAAAAACAACTTTTCTCTGCTACCCCGGCGTTCGAGAACCCCACCCCTAACTCGGATGTACGGTCTAGGGGCGCGGTGGCGGATTCTACCACCATCTCGTATGATAACAGTATTGAACAGCCCTACCGCCTTATGGAAGAAGTCCAAGGCGCTCAATCTCCCAGTCCCCATAGGGCAGGCTTTATTTTCCCCACCCCACATGATGGATCGTTCGTTAACAACTCATTGCGAGGCGCGAGTCGAACTCCTGGGCTCCCGCTAGGTGCACAGAAGATTAATTGGTTCTTGACATATTAACCACTGCGCCAGCTGGGTATTTCATGCAGTGTTACTCCGGGAACAAATACTTATCCCACTTCCTACCTAGTGATGGAGATAGTATCATTCTGCTGTTAAATAGTGAATTAGTATCATATTGATCACTAGAAGCTGGCTGGAACCCCCCCCCCCCCTTCCGTGTGAGTGCTGTAGGTTAAGTCTTGTTCGCTACATCATTCAGTAAGATTTGTATCCGGAACCTCTGGAAACCTTATTCCCGCAGGTGAGGTACTCGCGTATCATACTTATACCGTACACATTATAGTTTTTGACCGTTTCCATGAAGAGTTTTTGCAGTGTAAAACTCTATTGGGCCAATAGTTGTGGCATAATACTCTGGGAACACGTATACGCCCCACGGCTGTGATACATTATGACCGATTGCGTCGGCAACTTTGCACCCAGTTATGTATGATACCGGAAGAAGGAAATCTATCTATCTCACCACCCTACCGGAGTAATCTCTAATACTACCTGGCCCTATCCTATGACAGCTCCCCCTTCTTCCTTTTCTCCGCTCACATCTTGCAGCTTTCCGTGAATATATCATACGACGGGAAACTACCTCGTACACTCTGATCGCTGGGGGTTTTTATTTTATCGTTTCTAGTCCTTCGGCTTCCTGCCTCCCTCCCTAACTTTCCATGTGGGTTGTAGGCGACCGGCGGGTGGATAGTTTACTCAATCACACCGTACCTCAATGTCCATCACAATTTCTCACTCGCAAGCTTCATGGTCACCAATACTGGACCCACTGGGATGAATCGGTAGTATTCTCTTTGTGTGGTAGTCGGAAAACCTCCCCTACGATGGATGGATGGATGGATGGATGAAATTTACGTGCTTTCCTAACCTTCTGGAACCATCTGCTTGGCTCCGCGCCCTTCCCTTGCATGAACCTCCTTTCTCGAACCTGGATCGAACTTGAAAAATTTGTTCGTGGGCGGTTCGTGCTATATCTTGAAAATTCGTTTTTGGCGTGCCAATGATCGGTGGTACATGCCTACTCGACTTGAGTCATGGAAGTCGTGTCGGCACTAAGACAGTCTATCTGAAACTTTTGTGTCTGGCTGCCGTAGCCGCAAGCAACTAGCTAGTATCAAGTCTCCTTTCTTTTTTTTTACAAGACTCCAACTTGGGATTATAACCCCGGGCTGGTATATATATTCTCTTTCTCACCTTCCTTGTAACAGTTCAAGCCACATCCTCCCTTCCATCCAGAACCATATCATACCTTCCGAGCACGTCCCACCAGCCAACCAGACAGCCGCTCAGCGAAAGAAAGCAGGATGCCATTCCAAGAGGAACTGGACGGAGCCGAGGACACCGTCGACATAATCAACCACAAGCTCTTCGCCTGGAACCCCAACGACAGGCAGATTACAGACCCATACGTTCAGGCATCCAGAAAGGCTATCGAGAACATACAAGCTACTCGCGCAGCTTACGATACGAAGCGTCAAGGCTTCGACAGTGCGGAGAGGCAGATTAGGAACAATATTGCGGTGCTGGAGGAAATGAGTGCGGAGCTGGACAGGGTCTTGCATGAGGCAAAGATTATTCCGGGACCGATGCCAAAGGGGAGGCCTGAGCCAGTTAGTCATTTTTCCGAGTATGGAGACGACGGTTCAGTCGAGGGGGGAGGGGGAGGGGGGGTGAAGGGGATTATGAAGGAGGGGAAGAAGGTTTTCCAGAAGGTAAAGAAGAGGTTGAGTTTTGGGGCTGGGGGGAAGGGGAGAGTAGGTGGACAGGAAGAGGAGGAGAAGTTGGTGTATAGATTGACGTTGCAAAAAGATTTTAATGATCCGAATAGGTACTCTCAGGTTGATTGGACCCGGCGCCCAGGATCCAGGTCTTCTAGAAGCCACAGGGAGAGCTCGAGGGGTGCTTCAACGGATAGGGGGCGTCCTTCTTCTCCAACGGGCCAGTACGGTGCTGTCCACGGGTCCGGGACCGAGCAAGATGCCGGGGGGGAGAAGAGGGGGGCCAGGGGCGTACCGAAGAGGCGACATACCTTGGATAGCTCGGCTCCCGCAACTTCGAAAATTCACGGGGGTCACTCTAACTTCCCTGTAGATAGGTACAATGGCAGAAAAGGCGCGGAATCACCCTCTGCTTCCCCAATACCCGTTCTCAACCTCATCGATGGCCGCCCTCCGAGGGTATCAGTAGCTGCTGGTCCTAGTTCCAGGTTCCCCTCGCCTACTGATAGCACTTATCGTCGCCGCGGCGGATCACTCGGAGGTTACCCCCGCCGTCCGCTCCTGGATCCAAACATACGCCCTCCTTCCAGTAGTTCGTCGGTGCCACCACCTCCTCTCAACTCGGATGCTCCAACCTCGTCTTCATCCTCGACAAAATTGAGCATGATATCCGCGAGAACAGAAGCGCTCTTTGGAAGGCACCTTCAACAGAGCACCTTCGGCTCCAGCATCTCTTCTTCCTCCTCCTCTTCCGGTCGGTCAACACGCAGCTATGAAGGAGAGCCCACGGTCCGAGCCAGCGTCGCACTCACACCCGTGAGGGCTATGGAATGCCCGAGGGATTCCTCGCACGGATTAATATCCACCCAGATCCCAGAGATACCGCCTTTAGTGATCAGGAAAAAGAGGAATAATGCGCCCTTGATGGCTACGATATCGGAGGACCCGGCCGACGGGCCCGATTATACCCATTATTCTGCCGACTGTAGTGACGTTGGTGATCCCGATGGCGATTATAGCGACCCAATTGCCCCTGATGAATTTTCCCTCTCGGATGAGGTTTTTGATACCCATGCTGCGGGTGTTTTGGACGCCTTAGATAGGATGTCCGGTCCTGGGATCCATTTCGATCGCTCGAGGGGATATGACGGAAGTTCTGAGTGAATTGTTGGCGATGATATCATAACTTAATTACTTACTCACCCGCTGTGCGCTGCAGTAGCATACGTCTTAGCTAGCGGATCATCTCCTTTGTTTCAATTTTGTCTATACGGTAACCTTCTCTTGTTTCACTAATCTTGTTGTTAATAGTTGGTTTGGTTATTTTTGCTCATGCACGGGAGTCGCATTTCCAACACTGTAAGATTTTCGTAATTTAATTTGGGACTAATTTAATTTAATTTAATTGGATGATCAATTCGGTCAATCCTTATTAGGGTTCGAGATTTCTTCACGTATCATCACTCGCAAAAAGAGGCATGAGGTTCCAGGGAAATATCATATAAGCACAATACCGCAGGTGATATCCTTCCGTTTTATTATAGTGTCACTAGTCCGGTCTAGTTAGGTTGTTATTCACATTATTATTCTCTTCCGTTCCACCAGGCCCGCACTTTATCTTCCCAATCCATCCATTCATCCTTATAGTGCGAATATACACCAGGTAATTCTACCATCAAACGCCATCAGTAGTACAAAGAAAATGCCATTTCCCAAGCGCCCCCTCCTGTAATACCGCGGGACAAGAAAGAATGCAAGTAGAAAAAGAAAAGTATAAAAAAAAACCCCCCTACCCTCACAACTAACTATCTACAAACCTATCTAACCCACTCTCTGCCTCATTCTCCACCTCCCTCTCCACCTCCCTACCAACGATCAAACTCTTGCGCTTAAGCCCAGCGTGCAGCGTCTCGCTCTGGATTTCGACTCCTTCCTCATCGCTATCCTCCCCGCCCCTTCTCCTTCTGCCATCTTGCAGGTCCGCCAGCAGTGGGGTGTATCCAGCCTGCTGCTTCAAGTGCTGCATGAAGCCGTGGACATGCATAAAGCGACTGCCTTCGTACACAGGTAGCGCAGCATCCAGACACCTCCTGGACTGCGCCAGTTTTGAAACCTCTAGCCACTCTCCGGCCGCGAGCATCTTCCACATAGCGGCCTTGCGCTTCCTGGCGCCCCAGGCGCCACTGCCGATCCCTTCACGGATGGTGTAACATGCGCCGACGCGCTCGGTTATCAGTGCGTGACCGATGGTGCCCTGCGCATTCATATCACGCGCGCGGATGGCCCAGGTCGCGGCCTCGTCGGCGGCACCGCCGCCGCGGATGCGCAGGAGCTCTACGGCGACCAAGAGGCAGCGCAGCGCGTGGTAGGTTGCCGAGCAGCGGGAGAGGTAGGAGTAGCAACTTAGGTCTAGCATCGGGGCGATGGTGTCTGCGCGGACTTTGGAGGTTAGGCCTGTGCCTGTTAGGATTAGGCTTATTGCGGCCATTTCCTGTGGATGGGGATTGTTAGTTGGGGTTACTTTGGTTTTTTTTTTTTTTTTTTTTTTGGGGGGGGGGGAATACCTGTGCTCCAGCATGGTATTTCCAGGCTTTATCATTGTTAAAGTCTGTTCTCAGAAGCTCGTAGACGCTGTGGGCTAACCGCCAGTCCCGTACCATAAAGGCATAATCTGCCAATTTTCGCATTTGGGCTTCGGGGGAGCTGGGGGGATATGATTGATGAAGAGCATCGTAGTTTGATGATGAAGAGGTGGAGTTCCTGGAGGATGAGGTGCTAAAGTATCGCTTCGACATGGAGATGAAGCGTCCACTGATTCCACGTCTTCGGGACGCGACCTGGTCGTTCCAGGTTGCTATGCAGCGCTCCATGAATGGTATTACGCTCACCTGGGTCATTTCACGGACCATGGTTTGGATGCCGGCCGCATCTGAGTCTGGTAAGCAGGCGGCTGGCTGTTCGTCATCGTAGTCTGATATAGGTTTGTTAGCGATTGTGCTTCCCACTTTTTGTTTCCTTTCGATATTTGATATCTGAACTGTGAGGAATTACCTCTTGAACGGATCTCGTGAAGCTCCTCAGCAGCAGATATCCATTGAGTTTTCGGGACAACGACGGCATCGTCGTCGGATATAACCGAAGCACCGCCGGACCTTAACCTTAGCAGATGGCAGTGCAGTCCGAAATGTTTCTTCATCTGATCGAATAGTTGAGTAGATCTATCTACTTCATAAGCTTCATTTCGACAATATAGCCTCCCGATTGGAAATGAAAGCGGCCTACTGACTTTTTGATGTCATCCCGGTCTTCGTCATGAACCAATACATAGTACCGCAGATAATCGGTGCTAAGATAATCCGGCAGTGGAAGATGATTTCCCGAATTGTAGAGATTACGTAAACTATCTATGGGATTAGCATTTCTGGAGGAAATAGCTATGACACAAGCGACCGGATGCGAAAAGGTCTCATGAGGCGATAAGGGAAGTGCCGACAATATCCGCCGCAGATATAGCATGTAGAAAGACTGATTGGAGGCCGGAGTATCGCCGTCGGAGGGCAAAGACGTCTCGTTAAGCTCCTCCGCCCTCTCCATGTGCAGATTCACCAACTTCTCCACTTCCTCCACGCTTCCGCCCTGAAAGACACCGCTTCCATCGCTAGCGGCCTTTTCGGAGGAGCCATTGATGGCCCTGGAGGTTCCGGACTCCCATTTCTCCCCAGAATCGGCCACATCTGCCAGGGACACGAAACGAACGCCGTAGTCATCATGTGTCGTGCTGATGCCCTGGGAATCGCGGATGGTTATCCTCCCCTGGATGCTCTCGCCGTAGGGGCGCAGCATGCCCTTAAAGTCCGCAAAGCCCTTTTCCCGGGCAAGCTCGTTCGTGTCATCGGCCACATGCACGGCTATGCATGGGACGAAGGAGCGGCATACCAACCCCTTACAGTCCTCATCTTCGGGTGGCCGAGGGGAGTTGAGGTTTGCCTGGTTGAACAACGAATTGAGGGATGTGACCGAGCTGTGGACCGGGGCGTTGGAGGAGGAGCGGAGGTAAACCGATGTTGCCCTGGACACACCACCGGCCGGTAGCGTTGGACGGGTCCTCAGAGAGGGAAAGGCGGAAGACATGATCTCCAACCGTACAATCAGCTCAGTCGGGAGGGCGCGATGATACGGCGAGAGGGGGGGGGGGGTTCAAAGCTTTGATAGAATTTTGTGATGTACTGGTAGAGGGTTAGCCCAGATGATGGAGGGATGTTGCGTCGAACGGGTTGAGGCTCAAATTAGGATTCCAACTTGGCGGGTTTGAGAGGGAGAGAGTAACATCTCGTTCCGTGTGCCCTAAGCTACCGCCCCGTATCCCTTTTTACTCTCACATCTTTGTTTATTCTCCCCAAATATCAGATCAGTGCGGTGCTTGCCCGTGCTCCAATCTTCTCTTTCCCTTAGTTCTCACCACCCTTGTGCTTTTATTTCACAGATCAGGAATATCATAAATTCTGTCCATTCGCTTGCTTTTTTTCTTTGTTTCCTTTTTCCTCTCTCTTCCGGGGGTAACTGCACGGGTATCATAACCCGCACTCGAGCAGTGCTTGTAGCTCTCGAGTGCTAACAGAAAGTAAATTCTGCCAGCTTATCATACAATTCACCGTTCTCTCTCCCGTCATACCTCTCCCGCTCCCCCCCTCGCAGCTTAAACCATTTCCTATCCCCACCCAAAACCTTAACCCCTCCTCCTCCTTCCCTTTTTCCTGCTGCTGTCCCTCCTTCTCCGCCCTCATCCGTCGGATTTGGCAGCCTTCGCACCCCCCGACAATCCCGGATCCTCTCTTTCTTCACTCAGCTCACTCACACGCTCACCCCCCATACCGTATACCGTATTACCATATCATATCATACATATTCCTGCATACATACAGCCCGTCCCACCGGATTTGCTTTATATGTCATGACTCGCTAATCCTCCCACACGTCTTACTCGCCCCCCCTCGTCTTCCGCTGCCTCACAAATTCCGGGCGCAGAAATGCAATCCCTTGGTATGCCTTCTTCTTACTCCATTCTATTCTCTCCTGCTACCTCTACGGAGCAAACAACTACCTTCCCCATGGCGGGGCCTACTCCTTCGTCTACATTTTCTTCCGCTTCCTCCTCCTCCTCCTCCCTACGACCGCTACGACGGGCTTTGCTAACCAGCGACTTATCCTTTGATGGCTTGATAGTTCCCAGGAACCGCCGCGTACGATATACCTTGTTTGTGCCTCGCTTCAAGTAAGACTTAGGCTAACTGGGACTCGTAGCCTAAATTTGACCTCACTTTAGAGGTGAGAAGGCTCCTTGTTTCTCTTGTGATGAGCCACCCGGCTAATCACTGGCAAGCTAGATTCATGATCTCAATAACGTCCCGCTCGTTTCCGGTCAAGCGTATGTCAAGTGGCACATCAGTGGGACAGCTCGTTCAGACTTTCGCGGCCGAACAAACAAGGAGAACATTAAGGAGCACAAAGTCAATTGGCACTACGCTCAAGTCTGCTCCAATGTTCGCATGACTGTCGACCGGAGTGGTATGCTGCAGGAGCTGCCTATAGTTTTTGAGGTAATGCAGGAGTATGCTGGCGCTCGTGAACGAATAATCCTCGGTTCTGTTACTCTTAATTTGGCCGAGTACACTCGTGTGAATAAGGAAACGAGGAGGTATCTGATGCAGGACAGCAAAATCAACTCGACGCTGAAGGTGAGGATTTTTTATTATTCCTTGGCCAGTCTGGAACACCGAAATTTGCCACCTGGTGGGTGAGTGATTTTGCTATCTATTGGAATTACTCGGCCACCGGCAAGGTTTTCGCATAAAATTTTTTTGATCTACCAGTGAGAACTCGATCACAGCAGCGAAAACGGGACTCAGTCACCGGTTTGCGAATTCTACTGTTTCAGAATGTCCTGGGGATGATGGTTAGTTTATGGTAATACTGTTGGCTGACTCCGACCTAGGTTTCAATTTCTCTGAAGCAGGTTGGTGGAGATTCAAATTTCGAATCGTTAGTTTCCCAGAAAGTCTCGATTAATGGATGCGGCTGATAATTTAATGCAGTCCTATGCTAAGAGGTGCACAAGTGTTCGGTGGCATTGCAGGCATCATTGGAGAATCACAGAACCAGGAAGACACCGGAAGTCGGCGACCCGCCCAAACCCTGTGTTTCCGATGAAACTAACGTGCAACAGTTGCAACAGTTGCAACGTACCAAAAACGGGAAGCAAGTGCGATCCAAGATATGTATCGCTGTACCCTCGCTGCATCCTGGCAACTTCAAGCGGGCGAACTCCATCCCGAAGAGTGCATCGAGGATATATTCGCCGGCGGTGATGGCTGGACCCCTAAATCCGAGCGTTGTAGAGTTGGTAAAGCGAAATCTGTTCGGTATGAGGGTGGTTTAAGCAGGGGCGGTAAAGGCAGCGACAGTGATTCTCTGAGCGCTGTGAGCGCAGGTGCCACTAGTGGAACCAGTTCCTCAACAAACCATGCGGCAGTGCGGGGCCATGCCAACACTAAAGATGCTCGAAGGCAAAAGGAAGGCGACACCCTCAGCATAATGAGCAACCTTACTGGACCGAAAGTCGAGCGAAAGCAGAGCGGCCGTAGCACGAGGAGTGCTCGCAGCGCTTATGAGGTGGACGAGTTGAGAGCTAGGGAGGACCTAGTCAGCTGGAGGATGCCCTCGGCCGTTCGGTAGACACATCCCTTTTTTTAACACTTTTATCGCTTCTCCCTTGCCCTTGTGTCATACTTTCCCACTTTTTATTTCCTATCTTGCGGGGGCATAAGTGCGTTTTGGTATGGGTTTCTTCTTTTTTTCATTTTTTTCAGAAAAATAAAGATCACTGGCTGTCGTCCCTGTTTTCCCTTTGTACTCAAATGTTTCTTTTTTGTTAGAGAAAAAGCGGCGTCGGCGAGTTTATCGATTGGATCGATTTTTATCTTTCTTTGCATGTATTAATACCACTTGATGGGATGGTTTAGGTTTCTTTCTTGAGTTATACACTATAGGTGAAGTAGACAAAAGCGATAGATGGGGGGGGGGAGGTATTTCTGGGTGATTATTGTAACAATACAATGGGGTGTTTTGTCGTGCCCATACTGTATGTGATTGGTTGATGGGTTGATTGAGCGGAGGTCTTGCAATGAGGTGTGTTTCTGATGATGAGGCTGCGCTGGCCTATCGGGTGTCTGGCGTGGCTAACGTGGGTTCGAAACGGGCCGGCACCGACTGCGCGAGAAGGACCAAAGGGTATTGGCTCTCTCGGGAGGCATTTCGTTTGCGTAAATGGAATGTGCGTATTTTTGGTTTGCTGGTACTACAGGGTGTTGTAGCTTAACCAGTGTGTATGATATATGTCCAAAGGCAACACAGTTGGCAGGAAATCATATTGACTTTCTTACCCGCACGCTACTCGTACTGCGCTGTACTGTATTATAGTCTGCTCATCCAGTAACCAACCAGTCAGTATATGATAAGCCCCACGAAGAGGGAAAAAAAGACCGAAGGTATGGAAATTCAAATCAATATCCAACCTTGGCGGTGGGAGGGGAAAGGAGGATACGCATATTCGTGAGTGCGGTATCGTATCACGGTTCTGTACTTGTGGATCTCCTAGATAGCATAGTATCGATACGGTACGGCACTATACTCGAGTACAGTACTTGTCTATTGACCCACATTTTCCGGACGACCGCGAGTATCTCACAAGGCGGATCAGGGCGGGATTCACGTGTCTGTGCGAAGTGACCCAGCCACAGTTTATGGTATAATCTGCCAGACCCTCCTTCTGGGTTAATGCTTGTATCGGTGTGTTGATAGCTTTGTATCTTAGAGCATCATCGTCAGGGAGGGGGGGGAAGAAGGAAGGGAGAGCAAGAAGAGTGGTACAGTACGGTACTTACAGTGCAGTCGATCGGTCGATTGGTGTATTTATTTTATATGCTGGTAGAAAGTCGTAAAAGGACCGAGTAAGTGGTACAGTATGTACAGTATGGAGTAGGGGTGATGTTGATTTTGGACAAAAATTATGATGGTCGGTGTCTTATGGTACGCTGCAGCCGGCTCTTCTGAAAATTGAGCAAGTCTTTCATCACTTAATGGGACCCTGGAGAGGTTTTTCTACTATTTGGCCTTTAGGAATGGAGATGGATCTTCAGGGTGAGGCGTGGTTCTCTCGTGTATCTATTATATCAATGTATGGTGGTGCATCATATCGTAACCATATTTTCAGAATGTCCAATCTGACAACAGCTAGAAAAAAACCCGGGCCAAATTGTTGTAGAGTTTTGAAAACATCTTGTGTATGATATCAAATGATTTTGGAGGAAACGTGACACCAACCTATGCCCTACTATTTCCGTTCAGGTATGTCTCTATTGTAACCCTAACATGATTATGAATATGAAATTAAAACTCTAGCTAAGGACAACTACAAGAAAAACCAAAAAAAGCCTATGATATAGCTATGATATAGTGCAAGGAAAAGTATATACTTGTACTATCAGGAGGTATCAATCAATCCTTGTCTTCACCGTACCTTAGTGAATATATGTCGCAAGAGTACCATATCATACCCGGAGCCCTTCCACTTTTCAAGTACCATGGTTTCGAACTTAAAGCGCTGCCAACCCATTTACCGCGACTCCAAGATAAGTGAAAGTCAGCCGAGAAATAAAGGTGGTGATAGTCAGGAGCGGTCCTGGTTAACACTGGACTTGTCTGTTTTAACCCCCAACTCGCATGATTTTCTCAAAAAAAAAAATAATTCTGAAATAATCGAGCGCTTGACTTGCCAAAAAAAAAACAGCTTTCTTTATTTATTTATTTCGGCTTATATATATAATGCGTCTTCAAGAAAAAACAATGATTTTTTTTTATATGGTACTATACAGCGGGGATGGCAAGCAGCACCTCCGACATGTTTTAACCGTGCCAAGGTTCCCGTCACTCCGAAAGACGCTAAGCGACCTTCAAAGTTCGACGGCACTCCTACGGAGTGCCTAACAGCTCAACGGTTGTAACAGCTCAATGGTAAATTTATTGAACTACAGAAGAAAGATACACCACATAACGCCCAACCTCCTGAACTAAAAGCTTTTGATGCTTGAGTCTCTTACTTCGTTCCTTTACTGCCCTTCTCATCTCTTTTGAGATTTCTTTCCAATTCTTTTTGACTTTATTTTCTGCAGCCTTTGCTGCCACTGCGTACGATCGCTCAGCCTTATCAAGCTGGGTTTCAAGGCTGTCCTGTGCCTTCTGCTGTACCATCGCTCTGGCTTGATGTGCGTAAAGTGTCCCCCCCTTTTGAATTGACCTCCGGCTATGTTTTTGTCTTGTAGCGCGCGCAAGTTCTGCAGCCTTCGTACTTTTAAGGTCCTCTAGAGCTTGTGCCCCACACTGTGCCTGCCCTAAACTACCCTTTATAAAACGGTTGAGACTTTCGCGTTTTAAAGGTGAAAGATCACCAAGTTCTAGGACAAGTGAATCGGCAGATCTCTTGAGCGACCGGACGGTTTGTGGGGTTGATGGAATATCTGGCGAGGCTGGCGGTGGGGTTTGGGGTTCATAGGTCTGATCTGACTCGTATTCGACCTCGACAAGATTGGTAAGTACACTTTCAGGATTGAAAGGTATAAGCCCAGTTTTCCGGAAAGCAGAGAGGATGGTAGTAGACTTAAAGGTTTGTGAGCGAATAGAGTTGAGAGCAGTCAAGAACTCTACCTTATCGAAATTAGAGCATCCTGTTCAAGTTTCCAGGTCTACTGCTTCCGCATGATAGTGTTTATAGGGCTGAAACACTACGACGTCGAGAGGTTGTAGAAGATGGGTGCAGTGAGGTGGAAAGCAGAAGAGGACAATTTTGTGACTGTCACAAAACTCTATGAACTCTCTGGTGCAGTGAGACTCGTGTCCATCAAGCAGCAAAAGTCTCCAGGCACCCAATTGGCGCAATCGGGAATAATGTTCGAAGTGCTCAATCCAATCCATAGCCCGCGCATCGTTCGAGTAGCCCGTCTCGGTAATTCCAACAAGAAAGTTTCCCGGTAAGTCTGTTTGAACATACCAATCCTCCATATGAACCAAACCTGGGAGAATAACCATCGGAGGAAGCACACAACCATCTCCACTTATCATTTCTATTGCTGTCACCAACTCTCGACTGCTTGAGCTAGCGATATACATAGGACGAGATGCCTCACAGGTAACCACCCACTGATCTTTTCCAATTCCGATGCGGAATCCAGTCTCGTCAACGTTATAGCAGTCTGCATCTAGGATTCCTCTCGTCTCGCGGATCTCTTGGTAGCGACAAAACCAATCGCGTAAATCATCGATATGATGTGCTTGCTTGCGATTTATGTCTAGTGTCTTCTGCTTTCGAATCCGGTACTCAGGATGCCGGTCAAGAAACCTCCGAGTCCACATATCGCTAACTGTTGGAGGGGCAGCATCCACATCAGAATGTGAACGGGCAAGAACTGAGTTCGCATAGTACTGAATGGCACGATACCGAGGTGGTACTCCGATCTCATCCAATTTATTCAAATACTGACACAGGCCAAGCTCTTGATCCTCGCTCAACTTGCGATTCGGTGCGATTCGAGATTGACGTGAAGGACGGCCTTTCCATCGGGCATTTAAGCGGCACTCGGGAATCTCGAATTTTTGAGCAATCGCACTTAGGTTTGGCTTTTCTTCTGAGTTGAGTTCTTCAATTGCTTTTTGGATTCGGTCTTCTATCTCGGAATAGGCTTCGTTCTGCATTCTTGTGGTGGTACTGGGGGCAGCGTAGGATATTGGTGTGTTGAGTTGATGATGTCTACCGTTGAGCTGTTACAACCGTTGAGCTGTTAGGCACTCCGTAGGAGTGCCATCGAACTTCGAAGGTCGCTTAGCGTCTTTCGGAGTGATGGGAACCTTGGCACGGTTATTATTTAGAGAGAGAGCGTCAGTCGTCACCGAATGATTAAACTACTCCGTGAGTGAACCCTAGAAGGGAGGGGAGCCTCTCCCGAGAAATATCTTCTATTTCACTCCCTAGAAGCCGAACTTTGATATCGGTGCTTTTCCGTCCCATCGAGGTTATGATGCAATAGAGGGGTTTAGCCAACCGTGCTATCAGTCTTCCGTGCTAAATTTCAGAGTTAGTTCCTAAGAAAGCACGAGAGCTGATCTTGTGGATTTAGCCAACCTGTGCTAATCCAAGTTTACTCTTGGTGATGTAATCGTGGCAAGCAAGATTTCAAGCCTCTTCGGACTGGTGGTCTGGGGATTTTAGTGTGCCAGATTTCTTGATAACTAATAGTGCTAACTTGGATGGGCTGTTTGTTGATAGGGATGTACGGATTGGAACACAGTGCTAATTAACACCATTTACCAAATCGTGCATCTCCGATCAAAATATAAACACCCGGACTAGTGCCGTTTCCATGGTGAATAGCCTCGTTGCCTCTAGCAACAGCACAATCACCAATTAGCAAGGTGCTGCTAAACCCCCCTAATATCGATAAGGGAGCGAAGCAAAAACCCTAGTTCCGGTCGAACAATTTCCTTGATTTATTACATCTTATCGGCCCTGGCCATCTGGCGGGGAAGTATGGGTGCAGCGGTAGGATCCAACTGATCATTGGACAGCAGTATACGCCGCGTGACTTCCCGGACTCAACCACCTGTCGGCCGGCTAGCCATCATATCATAGCAAAGGTGAGCAGACACTACGAGTAGACCAGCAACCACATGACCACAGGATACCATGTTAAAAAAAAAAAAAAAAAAAAACTAGTAGTCTTCCACGAGATCTAGGCCCCCGGAGGTTCGAGTAGGAGTCAACCCTCTATATTCCTCGAAAAAAAAAAAATAACTGCGAGTACCCGTTTACCAAAATGATACTCTTTGGGAAAGGGGGCGGTGGGGGGTCGTGAATGTGTGTTGCAAGTAAACTATGCGCGAGTGATGCATCGTGATCATAATCCCCGGGAAATTGAGTCTCTACATAAATCCCACCCCCCACCACCTCCTCCTCCCAGGACGACCGGTGTATCCAAGACACTGGAAACGCCGCTATCCGAAGAAGAAGTCGGTGTCTGTCTGTCTGTCTGCCGGTATGCTCCTCGTACGGATATTTTCTCCAGAATGGGTTCCAATTTACTCTTCTTGCCAGGACATTTTCCACGGATGGGGCTATCCATGTTCTACAAAGAATGTGGGACTTCCCCCCCCCTTATTTTTTTTACTTA